GTGCGCGGGGCAGGGGGCGTGTCGCGGCGGCAGCAAGGGCATCCCGCTGAAGAACATCAAGCTGCTGGCGGGGGTGCCGCTCATCGGCTGGGTGCTGCGCGCCGCCATCGACGCCGGCGTCTTCCACAGGTGCGCATGCGCCTTCTACCCCGCTCCCCCCCGCCCTGCGGCCGGGGGCAGCAGGGGGTGCCCGGCACCGGCACCGGCACCGGGAGCGGCCCGCCCGGAAATGGCCTCTCGGGGCCGAGCTCCCGCCCTTCCCAGCCGGCTTTTCCCCGGCAGCCCCGAGGCTTGGCGCCGGCGTCCTGGGTGAAGTGCTAGTGGCAGGCCGTGGGAGTGAGGCGCCCGGTCGGGGCTGCTCCTTTCCGTGAATGAGGCGGGGGTGCTGTAGGAGATTCTCCCCGACGGCGAGGGGGTGCAGTCCAGGTGGCGCCAGCTTATGGATCGGGCAGGGCGAGCGCGCTGCAGCCTGCCGTCAGCTAACTTCCCTGTCCCTGCCTGGTGAGGGTGAACTGCGAAGGAAGGAAGGAAGGAATCAAAGTAATTTGATTACAGTAATTTGAAGTTAAAGTTGTTTTGGTTCGTGATCTGGAGCCACCAGTTGATGTTTGCCAGTAAGCATTTTTACTTTATTGAGATGGCTGCGCTAAATGAAAGTGGTAGGCTGTAGGTGATCTGCAAATCGCTGAATCACAGGATGACTTCCGTTGGTGGTCGTCGGGTCCCACCTGCTGGGCAAAGATGGGCCGGCTAGGCTTGCTTCGGACTATGTGCAGCAGAGCTTGGATGTCGCTAAGGATGGAGAACCCACAGCCCTTCTGGGCACTGGTTCAGTGATTGATAGCCCTCATGGTTGAAAAATTGTTCTGTGATTATCTGGCGCTTGTGTTCTAGCAGTCTGTGACCTCTTGCTGTGGTCGTCCAGGCAAAGTTTCTCTATTCCCTCTCCCTGCCCACCAGGTGCTTGAAGACAACAATGAAGTTGTCCCCTTGCTTTCTTTTCATAAGACTGAATCGAGGCGGCTTTTTTGGTGTCTCCTGGCATGCATGTGCTTCCAGGCCCCAGTTGTGCTGACTCTCTGCCGGGCTTGCTCCAGTTTTAATTTCTTGTATTGGGGAGCCCACAGCTGGACACTGCATGTCAGGAGCAGTCTCATAAATGTGGAGTGGAAGGAAATAATTGTGTGTGCCCATGTGACACAACAGAGGCTGTTTGTGGCGAAGTGCATGAAACTTCCCTAGCAATTAGTTAGATTGGAACAACTATGTTGTTAGTGTTAGTGTATGTTGTTATGGGCATTACAAATTTCTTTTTTCTGCCGGAACAAAACTGAGAATTTTCTACACACATACTGATAAATTTAATTAAAACCAGTGCGTGATTAGGATGCATGTGGTATGTACCATACCTAGGTCCGGGTTCCCAGTGCAAACCTACTGTGTTCTGTTCAGAGCAGGCACTCAATGTAGTCAAGCAGAAATGGATCCCAGCAGAAATGGACCCCAGCTAGATTAAGAACTGAAAGTAAGCACGAGTCTTCTGTATCTCATAGTTGCTGTACCATTATCTATTTTGGGAAATCTTTTTTACTATATCCAAAAAACAAAGGAAGCATAGCTGGCGGCTTTATTCTTAATAAAGAAGCAGTCAAAAACATTTCCGACCTAGATTACTGTTAATTACTTAAGGCATGTTGCTTAATGACCTGTGGTGAGTATGGTGGTTTGCATGACCTTCTCATTTTCTATTTGGCATCTGAATTTGCCCAACAGGGAGCCAATTAGGGTTATGTAGCCTAACTTTGAGGCATAACAGGTGCATTAGATGGAAGTGGGCTAGGTTTTCTAGTCACCTTTGCAACAGCTGTGCTGACAGGGTACATGTTACACAATGAAACTCTGTTAGTGGAATGGGGAGTGTACATTTAAGCTAACCAGCCTGAAGCAGTTTATGGAAAATATCTATTCTGCATATGTTCACGTGGGTGTGACTTGACATTGCTGTCACTGTTATACATATTTCTATTCTGACTATCCCATGATGTCTTTGGATGAAAAAAAACTAAAGCACCAATTGCTAAGTACAGTGCATTGAGAATGCCAGTGTTTCTGAAAGAAGGGTTATTTATCATAGTTTTTATCTCGCATGCTTTTTTTTTTGGCAAAATGGTGGCAGCAGTGGCTTCACAGTGCTCAACCGGTGTTTATCATCACACAATATTCAGATTTAGCCCTTCCTTTTGTAAATGTTTATTATCCCTGAACAATCACAATCTTGCCTTACCAGTATTGAATGTTTTCTGTGCCAAAACATATGTGATTGTAACTTGAGCAGCTCTTTCTCTGGGATTGTATGGAGCCTCATGCATTTTAAAACATTTTCAGAATAAGCTCATCTTGTGTGGCAGTTTTACTTGTTGTCAGCCTTGTGTCTGAACTCTTAAATGATTTTAAATGCCTCATTTGACCCATTCACAATTCCTTGACCTGTTAGCATGTCTAAAAAAATTGTGACGTGCTGACATTGGAGTTTTCTGGTAACAGTTCTGAATTTTTATGTTACTTAGCTTCATACATGGAAGGTGGATCAAGCACCCTACAGTATTAACCTGAAAAGCAACCCAAGCTTGAGATTTTACAATCTAGTGAATGTGTGTATTTTATCTCTATTGTTAAAAGTTGCTTGTTGGACTGACAGGGATAGTTTTACTAACAGAAATAAAAGAACTAGTTCCTTTCATTGCAAGGTGTAGTACCTACATAAGCCAGGGTGTTGTTCAGGTTAGATTATGGCAGACAAGTCAACAATGCTGGGATTTATTCTTTATATTAATTTCTGTCACTGTCTGCCAACAGTGTATGGGTTTCTACAGACCATGATGAAATTGAGAAGGTTGCAAAGCAGTTTGGTGCTCAAGTTCATCGCAGAAGCCCTGAAGTTTCTCAAGACTCCTCAACTTCTCTAGAAGCTATCCGAGAGTTTCTTAATCATCATCATGGTAAATCAGTAATGAAGTATGCTGAGGCTTTTATGTTGTAACCCCAGAAGGATGATGCACTTATTAGAAAAAAAGTAAAGCCTTTAGTAAATAAAAGCTAGAAAGATTCTCCTTTTTTTTTTTCTTTTGTGGCATCCACTCATACCACACTTTGTACTTGTGTGTATTCAAAATATTCAGTGTTTCATAAATGTTTCTTTGTTTTTCTTCAGAGGTTGATATTGTAGGAAATATTCAAGCAACATCTCCCTGTTTACATCCCAGTGATCTCATAAAAGTGGCAGATCTGATCCAGAAGGAGGGGTTTGATTCTGTCTTCTCTGTTGTGAGACGGCATCAGTTTAGATGGAGTGAGGTAAAAAAAGGAGGTAATACTTAGCTGTTTCTGGTTAAAGTTATACTTAATAACATTTTTTTCAAAAGGTTTTTTTTCATAACGATGGTATGTACATTAGGAAGTGATTTCAGAGGCAGGGACTGAGTTCTTGGAGAGGTGTGAGATTGCTTAGAAATTCCTTTTAAGTAGTCCTGTTTTGATATTACTGGTCGTTGCTCCCCCTTTCTGTAATTGTTCTGTAGAAGTGATAAGGTATTGAAAATTAAAACATTATTAACTTGTCTAGGCTCAAAATATAGCTCCCCAAAACTTTGCATGTTAACTTCTGCTTGGTGGGTATTCATGTGTATGTAGGGAAGTGTTTGTTCCTGCTGTTCAGTAGCTAATGAATGACAAGTAATGTGAGGTAAAGTCTTAGTGAGAATGAGATGGCAGCCTCGTAGCCTGGAGATTAGTTTGTTTCAGCCTGCTAATTTGGCTGCCAACTTCTGTCAAATTGAAAACTGCCTTTGAGTCATGAGGACTGAACTCCTGTTAATTAGCTAATACAGAAGAATATGGCTTGTTTTTCCCAGAGAAAATGTGCCTCTTGGCTACAGTTGCCAAGATGACCAAAGGCTGAAGTCTTCACTTACAAATAAAGATTATACCTTGTAGCTATAGAAGTACCTTTTGTCCTTGTACAAAGAAGTATTTTGCACATTATCTATGTTGGTTTTGTTTCTGTGATTAAAGCAGAAGCGTTTGCTGCTTTTTCTAGAAATGGTTAGTTCAGATACTGTCACATTGTTATATTTTTTTAAATGGATATTGTTACTTGGACATTACAATTATTCTGTTGAGATATAAATTCCTTCAGATGAAGATAATTTTTATGCATTCAGAAAGCATCATGCTGTGAAAGAGCATGTGAGATGAAATAAATGAAGTTTGCTATTAGAGATAAATTGTAATAGAACTTGGGCCTTTTTTAGAATAAACATAACTTGAACTTTCTCATCCTTCATAAGAGGAGAAATAACATGACACAGTTAGCTTGTAAAGGATAAGAGGAGTATCAAGATCATGGCAGTTTGGGATTCTATGGATTACACTTTCAGGCAACCAGTGTAAGTCCATTTCACATTTTAAGATGCTAGAATGGACATCTGTGAAAGACTTAAGTTTGATTTGGATATACCATGTGGCTTTCTGAAGTAATTGTGGGCCACCTAGTCTCTATAGGTATTAATTAATATTACCTTGATTGATATTAAGGTATGTATTAATATAAAAAAGCCTCAAGACCTACCTAAAAGAGCAAATGATTCTTTAGTATAAAATGACACCTAAAATCTTGTAATGTGGTGAGAGATAAAGAATTATTCAGTTGCAAGAAGTATATGTGTAGAGAACAAGCAACACATTGTGCAAGCATTAGCGGCTTAAGGGTAAAAGCAAGTGCCCTTTCAGGAATGTTGTGTTTCAGGTGACAGTGACTCACAGGAGCATTATACAGTTTAGTATTGTTCTTTTTGTTTGTTTTTTTTGTTGGTTGCTTGGTTGGTTTTTCCCCAGATGGCTTTAATGCACTGGTTGTGTTAAAAGAATTTTATATCTTTTCCCGTGTATTTCTGTCCCTTCTTCATTAAGGCTTAATATTGATGCACCCCAAAAGAGAAAGGTGTGTCTGACTGGAAATAATTACTTCATTGAGCACAAAGCTCTAGTGTATTTCTGAAATACAAGGTGTGTATATGTACTAAGGCCTCATGATGTTTTATGTGTTTGAGAATGCCCTCCAACTTTTTCATGGTTACTAGATCATGAGACCTGGTGAATTTTAGCTGCTTTGTGCATGTGAGGGTGTAAGGACAGAAGTCTCAGGTCCCTGGTTCAGTTTCTACTGCCTGCACTCTGGCATTGTTAACAATATGGGATCTTATGGGATCACATTTGTTCAGAGACACTTGTTTTTTTACTTGTGGACACTGATTTACCACTTACGAAAAGTTATTATAATGTGTATCCTCAAATATGAAATATTTTTGGGAAGTGGCAAGACGTTTTCACAGGCAAAATTTCTTTACATGTGCTCTTTTTTCACCTTCTGGATTTCAGGTTGGTCCTCCCAGCTATGAGTTCATTCAGGGCATTCCTGGTTTTAGGTGTAGGTAGCTGAATTTTTTTTTTTTTTTTTTTCATTTATCTTTACTTCAAGTTAAGCCTCTTCCTATCATGTACTAGGAGATAGAGTACAGTACAGAAAGAATATAATATTTCTTTCACATTGGGAAGGACAGTCTAGAAAAATATCCCCCCCCTCTACTACTTTTAGTAACCAGTTCTGGAGCTGGTGACCTCTCAGGGTTTTTTTTTAAGTTGGGAAGGCAAGTTTCCTTTGCTAGAAATGCAGAGCAGTCCTCCAGTTTGTTATCCACAGTTCCAAGAAAGAGAAGCAATTCAGTGATTCTTTATAGAGCTAAGCAACAAGAGGCAATATCTATTGAAAGAAGCTGGTGACTAAATTGTGTCTTTAATTTTTCAACAGAAAACTATTTAAAGAAAGTTAAGTGACTCTGAACAGGGATTCTGGAAAACTTTTTCTGTCATTTTTCTCTATTAACAGGAAGCAAAATGACGGAGCCCCAAAACCTGAATCCAGCAAAACGGTACCGGAGGCAAGATTGGGCTGGGGAGCTGTATGAAAATGGCTCATTTTATTTTGCCAAGAGACATTTGATTGAGAAAGGCTACTTGCAGGTTAGTGCTTCTGTTTTTCATGCTCTTTAGAATAATACATTTTTACTTTTATTATAGAGGCTTTTAAATTCAAAGAATGGATCTCCATTTGCTGGATCTCTTCTCTGTGAACAGAGAAGGACTGGTGGATCATGCGGCGGTTGGAGGCTGACTAGGGCACAGTGATCATGAAACAGAGTTCTCTGTTCTTAGAGAGGCCAGAAGAGGGGGGAGCAGAGCTGCCATCCTGGACTTCTAAAGGGATGACTTCGTCTTGCTTAGGCACCTGCTTGAAAGAATCCCCTGGGAGACTCTCCTGAAGGGTATAGGGGTCCAGGAAGACCGGGCACTCTTTAAGAAGGAAGTGTTAATGGCTCAGGAGCAGGCAGTCCCCATATGCTGTAAGAGAAGCTGGCGACACAGAAAAAACACCCTGGCTGAACAGGGAGCTTTGGCTGCAACTCAGGGAGAAAAGGAGAAGTTTACAGCCTTTGGAAGAAGGGACTAGCCACTCACAGTGATTACAAAGATGCTGTGAGTCTGTGCAGGGTGGAAATCAGGAGGTCTAAAGCCCAGCTGGAAATTAATCTGGCTTCAGCAATCAAGGACAGCAAGAAATGTTTCTATAAGTCTGAGCAGCAAAAGAAAGACCAGAGAGAGCCTCCATCCCCTCATAGACACAGGAGGAAATATGATAACAAGTGATGAGGAAAAGGCTGAGGTGCTTAATGCCGCCTTTGCCTCAGTTTTTAATAACAAGACTAGTTGTATTGAGGGAATCCAGCTTCCTCAGCCAGAAGACAGAGACTGGGAGAAAAACCCCCACACAATCCAGGAGGAGATAGTCAGTGACCTGCTGCATCATACAGACACACACAAGTCTATGGGACCAGATGGGATACACCCGAGGGTGCTGAAGGAGCTGGCTGGGGTGCTCACCAAGTTGCTTTCCATCATTTATGAGCAGTCCTGGCTGACTGGGGAAGTCCTGACAGATTGGAAATTGGCCAATGTGACGCCCATCTATAAGAGGGGTTGGAAGGATGATCTGGGAAATTACAGGCCCATCAGCTTAATGTCAGTGCCAGGGAAACTGATGGAGCAGCTCATCCTGAGTACCATCACACAACACATGAGGGACAACCAGATGATCAGGCCCAGTCAGCATGTGTTTGTGAAAGGCAGGTCCTGCTTGACAAACCTGATCTTCTACGACAGGATGACCTGCTTATTGGATGAGGGAAAGGCTGTGGATGTTGTCTACCTTGACTTTAGTAAGGCCTTTGACGCCATTTCCCACAGCATTCTCCTGGCAAAAATGACTGCTCGTGGCTTGAATGGACACATGCTTTGCTGGGTTAAAAACTGACTGGATGGCCGGGCCCAAAGAGTTGTGGTGAACAGAGTTAAATCCAGTTGGTGGCTGGTCATGAGTGGTGTCCGCCAGGGCTGTGTTTTGGGGCCACTCCTGTTTAACATCTTTATTGATGATCTGGATTGAGGGGATTGAGTGCACCCTTGGTAAGTTTGCAGATGACACCAAGTTGGGTGGGAGTGTTGATCTGCTCGAGGGTAGGGAGGCTCTGCAGAGAGACCTGGACAGGCTGGAGCCATGGGCTGAGGCCAACTGGAGGAGTTTCAATAAGGCCAAATGCCGGGGGCTGTCCTTGGGCCACAACAACCCCCAGCAGATCTACAGGCTTGGGAAGGAGTGGCTGGAGAGCTGCCAGTCAGAGAGGGACCTGGGGGTGTTGATTGACAGCTGGCTGAACAGGAGCCAGCAGTGTGCTCAGGTGGCCAAGAAGGCCAATGGCATCCTGGCTTGTGTCAGCAATAGCGTGGCCAGCAGGGACAGGGAAGGGATCTTACCCCTGTACTCGGCACTGGTGAGGCCGCACCTCGATTCCTGTGTTCAGTTTTGGGCCCCTCACTCCAAAAAGGACATTGAATGACTCGAGCGTGTCCAGAGAAGGGCAACGAAGCTGGTGCAGGGTCTGGAGCACAGGTGATACGAGGAGCGGCTGAGGGAACTGGGGGTGTTTAGTCTGGAGAAGAGGAGGCTGAGGGGAGACCTCATCACCCTCTGCAGCTACCTGAAAGGAGGTTGCAGAGAACTGAGGATGAGTCTCTTTAACCAAGTAATAAGTGATAGGAGAAGAGGGAATGGCCTCAGGTTGCACCAGGGAAGGTTTAGACTGGATATTAGGAAGCATTTATTTACAGAAGGGGTTGCTGAGCATTGGAATGTGCTGCCCGGGGAGGTGGTGGAGTCCCCATCCCTGGAGGTGCTCAAGAGTAGGGTTGACATAGTGCTGAGGGGTATGGTGTAGTTGAGAACGGTCAGTGTGAGGTTAATGGTTGGACTGGATGATCTTCAAGGTCTTTTCCAACCTAGATGATTCTGTGATTCATTTATTATGAAGGCAAGTATGAAGTAACGGCGCTTTGACCTCAGGACAGTGTGCTTATTATTTAAAACTTAACAGGGCTAGCTGTAGCTAGGGTAGTTACAGTAACAGCATTCTCTACAGCAAACAAATTTATACAAATAATAGAGCAGTACATAGCTATAAGCCTAAAATAGTACAATATTGACTTCTACATCAGTTGCCAGGATGTAAATGCATATCTTGTAGTTCATTTTAGTGTTACTGAGGGTATGAAACTGACCTTTGTGCAGTTTCGTAGGCTTCTCCTGTAATCTATAAGCTTGTATTCTTGGTCGCTTTATTCTTATGCTAAGTTTATACTGTAACTCAGCCTTTTTTTCCTTTTCCTGATATTTATGTCCCAGTACAGTAATGCAGAACAAATTTATTTACTTCAGCTTTCGTTTTGTTTATCTACAAGTATAGTCCCTTAATTTTCTCATGCAAGACAAGTTCTCTATCTTACGGATCCTTTACAGTATTTGTCAGCAGAACTGAAAAAAAAGCCCAACATAGCTATTTCCATGTTTTGAACAGGAATACATTACTAGCTACATCAGGAATACCAGGTTCTTCCTTCTCTCTAGTCCAGATACCTCAGTAATGCAGAGATACTAGCTTTAGGTTTCTATAGTTTGTACACACATGCAGTGCCAGCTAGTGCTGTGTGAACTTGCAAGTATTGATTTGGATAGTACAACTGTGAGAATTCTACATTTTATAAAGGTTGGGCCACTAACTCTCTGAGGACCAGAACTTTTAAGGTTTTTAATTATACTGGGGTCTGGTGGATATTTTTCCAACTGAAATTAAATGTCTGTGTAGAGAGCATACAAAAAATAAGCATACTTTTATGAAGTGAATGCTGAAGGTACTGCTTTTTTACTGTATTAAAAGACCTAATGAAATCAGTGTGACATAATGACTATAATGCATAACATCTTTCTTGCTGTGTCTAGCTGTGACATTAAAATACTTATTAACCATTGTGCATAAAAAGTTGTTTCATATGCTTGGTTCTGTGTCACTTGCAAAAACATCATTACTGATGTGTTACTTTCATATAAGCTGTGTAACCAGACACTTAGCTTTCATTATGTGGTTCTAAATTGTACAGACTTGTATTTTTATTAACCCAGGCATAAAATTGTGATGGATTCTATTTTATTTAGGGTGGTAAGATGGCCTACTATGAAATGCGTGCAGAGCACAGTGTGGATATTGATATAGACATTGATTGGCCTATTGCAGAGCAGAGAGTATTGAGGTAAAACACTATTCCTTTATTTCTTTGATATTGCTTATTGTTTTAAAGTATGGTCATGTGAATTCATGATGTATGTAATGTAAGTAATCAAGGCCAAGGATAATTGGGCAACTTAATTTCTGCCCATCATTTTTTTTTCTATGTTGAAATAATCTGAATTACCTTTGCTATATGTTTTGGTGTTTGTTTTTTTGTTTTATTTTAAAGTTCATCTTGGGGAAAACTGTAAACTCCACTATACAACAGCAATGTTTTAGCATCATCTCTGGCTTTTCCAGCTGAATTATCCTAGGCTTCCATAATCTGGACCACTTTTATTGATGCCCATGACTGAGAGTCTTCATGTAGAAGGCATGAGCTGATTACAATTTGCCAGCTGCCTTTTCTTTGCAACTGCTATATTGCTCTCTAAGGAAATAATGGGTGGGCATGGAATATATTTTGTGTGCCTTTTTCATCCATTTTAGTTTTGCCCCAGTTAAATGCTACAGAACATAACCTCTTATGCTAAGGATATAAATCTCATACTAATTTTTAAATAGACACCATTACTGAGCTGTCTTTTGAATAGTTCTGGGGTTTTTTTTTTCTTTGAAGAGGGAGAATCTAGTTTGAGAGTGACAATGATGAAAGACATTAGAAAAAAGAATGTCAAAGCTGATTCTTTTGTCTGTAGATCACAACTGTATTTGAAATATTTGGGTTTGGGTTGTGCAAAAACTTCCATCCTAAAATGATAGCTTCTTTGTTTAGCTTTGGATATTTCGGCAAAGACCCATTAAAAGAGGTGAAGCTATTGGTTTGCAGTATTGATGGATGCCTGACAAATGGTCGCATTTATGTGACAGAAGATCAGAAGGAAATGGTCTCCTACGATTATAGAGATATTGTTGGTATAAATCTACTAAAGAAAAGAGGAATCCAGGTAAGTGTTGTTCTGAAGTGTGAGGCTTTATGTCTGATGCAACTTGAACATTAAAAGATTCTAAAACCCTGCAGCATGTAAGTTGAAGTTTCTTCAGAGTATTTGTGATCGGGCAGCATAATACATCTGTTTGAGGTTGGGGCAAATGTTGTTCTCCAGTCCCTTAGAGGAAAATAAAGTGTTCTGAGAAAGTTCTCAATTTCACTCACGGTAGCTGTAGCTTCTTTCTCTTTTGGTCCTGGAAAAATGCAGCAGAAAAAAGTTTTATGATGTTTTGCTAGCACCGAGCTTATTGTTCTCTGTGTAGTCTAGGCACCTCATTAGAAGTCATCTTTGACAAGCAGGGATATGTTGTTACATCTTGGCTACAGAAGAGGAAGAAAGAGCCAGGCAAATTAAGTGGTTCATCCTAGATCACCCATGATTGTTGCAAAGAGGGGAAATCAAACCCCAAACACTTTTGTCTGTGTAGTTGTTTTAACCATAACTTATGTGCTTTGAAGTTTGTAGGAATTCAGTGTTAAATAAAAAACTGCAGCAACACAGATTGTAATGTGGCTACTTTCATCATTATTATTATTATTGATTTTTATTACTACTACTAAATTCTGCTGATCAGAGTCTTTGCGTATATGTAAAATGAGCCTCCTGGCTATATTCTGTCTGTGCCTTTGATACAGATAGAAGAAATTTTTGGGGGTAAGAACTAATTGGAGGTTTAGACTGCCTTCAGAGGGTCTTAACTCAGTTCTGTTGCAGGTATAGATAGGCATGGGTTAGACAAAGGTAGCTATACCCAAAGCAGAGTTCTCCAGTTATGTTTTTGGAGTCTCTACCTTAGGACTTTATTTATGATGGGTTAGACAAGATACTCATGACATACTTTGCAGCTGATGCTGCCTTGTGGCAGTGAAATGGAGCAGATTTTTTTTCAGAACTCCCTCAGCCTAATTTTCTGTGAGGCAAAAAGGAGAGGAAGTTTGTAACTGTTGTCTTGTTGCCTGTGGGAGCCTATTTCCATACTTGCTGTGACATGGAATCTTTCATTAAAAACCTCCTGGTCTTTGTGCTGCACTTTATCAGTAACATATATGCTGTCTCTTATACACA